GGGCAGTCCAAGGCACAGTCGTAAAGCCTCTCTTTCTAATAGTATTAGCGGTCTCATTTTATATGTCGCACTGCCCGAAAATAAGACACAGCCGAATTCCATGATAGGACGAATGTACATTTTAAAGACCATTACCAATGTATTTCTTCGCAACCCCCTTTTTATGTTGCTGAGCTTGCGTAACCACCCCATGGCTCGTGTTTCTTTGGACGCAATGTGATCGATGTGGCTTTTCCAATTTAACGAGCTGTTATATATGATGCCTAAGTATTTGAGTGAATCCACCTGGGGAATCTGCTCTGTGCCATACATCAAGGAGATGTTGATAGGATCGCTGAACAAGAACGCTAGAAGCGCGCTTTTGTTTATGCTTAGAGGCATTCCAATTTTTTCAAGCCATTCCTCTATCATGTTTAGGTAATTCTGTAATGTCTGATAAAGTAATTGCAGATCACTGTTTGTCGCAAAGAAAGCAATGTCATCTGCATACACATATAAATTAATATCGCTATGTGTTGGAATCGAACTGAGGAAGATGTTAAACAACACCGGTGAGAGCACTGCCCCCTGTGGTACGCCACGGTATTGTCGATATCTGTTAGAAAAACAACCCCTTTGAAAGCAATAAAACTCTCTCTCCCTTAAAAACTCTGCTACCCATGCTGTCTTGTAGTTTGGTTAGTGTGACATTTTCATCTGCTCTATTAGTATTTTATGCTCCATTTTGTCATACGCCTTGGCCAAATCCAGAGTAACTAATGCACAATACTCTCTTCTACGCCTAGCCAACTGTATACGACTCTCCGAATCCGCGTGCGCACACCATATGGAGCATCCCGATTTAAAGCCAATTTGACTGGGGTTCAGTATTGACTTCTCCTCAATGTATTTTATTACACGTGCATTCAAAACTTTTTCAGTTAGTTTAACCAAATTAGATGTAAGAGAAATTGGCCTCACATTGTCAAGTGTATACCCAAGTCCCTGTTTTTTAAGTATCGTAATTATTTTGGAAAGTTTCCAATCCACCGGTATCCAAGAATTTTTCAAAGAGTAATTAACCATATCACAGAGTTCATGTGGGGAAATGTCATATAGTACTTTTATCATTGCTGAGGTTACTCCATCTGGTCCAGGGGCTGTAGGAGGTAAGTGCCTCACTACACCCGCTAGTTCCACTAATGTCACCTCATTGAATTCCTCCCCTGCAATTGGCTTTACTATGTGACTTGGCATTGTTGATCTGAATCTTTATTCTAATCCTTTAGCAACATTTTCTAATATTTCAGTGAGTTCGGTAGGCGATAGAATGGAAGAATCAATATTGTCTGATGGTGGTATCATTTTTCTCGAACGCAAAAATCTAAAAAGCGCTTTTCTGTAGTATGGTTTTGAAAGATAGCTAAATTTGTTAGTGTCATAGTCATCTTTTGCTTTGCGTACTGTACGTTTAAAATCTGCTGCCACGTATTTATAGTCACACCAGTTTTTTGGGCATTGGTTGTGGATAAGTTGCTTCCACGCCGCTTTTCGTTTTCTATACGCCCTCATACGATCGGCGTTCCACCATGGGCTAAACGACCCGCCTGTGCCTGAAGTTATTGAAAAAGTTGACTTTTTTATTGCTCTTCTCAATACCGCACACAGACTCATAGCCCGAATGTCTTCCTGCATGTCCTTGCGGACAACCAAAGTAGACTTTAAGTCTTTTTGTAAACGCTCATAATTTACAAACGAGCCAATTTTACCAGTTAAAAATATCCCGGGAAACTTAATATCGAAGCTAATAGGAAGGTGGTCACTGTTTGTTGCGCAATATAATGTGTTCCGCGACGAAATGTTTAGTGAGGAGCTGGAAAAGGTCAGATCTATCGCCGACTTTGATTGTCTCCTAATAAACGTAACAGTGGGGAAATTTACACAAGATAAGTTATTTTCAACAGTCCATTCCCACAAGCGCCTTCCATTTACATCAGTCTTGAAACCCCAAGACACGTGGTGTGAATTAAAGTCACCAGTTAATATTACATCCTTCCTGCAGAAAGCTAACAGTGCATCTAAGCATCTTGTGTCCTGTACTCCTACTGGAAAGTATGCGTTAACAAAAGAAAAAGGGGAACAGCCTGGCAGAGTGATGTCTAATACCATAATTTCATAGTTAGAATCCATGCACAGGTAGTTAATCTTCGCTCTATGACTAAATTTAGTTGATATAAGAATGGCAAGTTCACCACCTCTGCTAGGTCTGTCTAAACGAAATAAGCGGTAATTTTTAGGTAAAATTTTTGTCCATTTGTAAGCCAAGTTTCTTGTAAAGTAATAATATCTGGGGAAATTTGCGAAGAAATACACAATAAATCTGTGGTAGCCGACCCTATTGATCGACAATTCTACTGTAATACTTTTAAGGAGCCTATTTTGACTCTATAAACCCGCCGCAGAGACTGCTTGATCCAAAAGATCTTTCTTCAAAAAGTCTTTTTTGGAGAGGTTCTCTAAAACGTCTTTCTTTGACAGGAACTTTTTAGATTTTGATTTCTGTGAAGACTTTTTCGATAGGGGAGATCTGGCACGCTTCAAGAAATTATGAGATTCCGCATCCATATTTGTGAATTCATCAGTGTCATCTGATACGGGTTCTGGATCTGCCCGCAGTACCTTATTGGAGGGTCCTGCTTTAGGAGATGCGCATTGTGTAGGAGCTATCGGACTTTCTGTCCCGGCACACTGTGAAACCTCCAAATCCTGTGAAGTCTGATTTTTCATAGACACTGAAGCATTGATTTGGGTCAACTGAGTTGTTAACAATTCAGCTACGACTCCAATAATACTGCTGGCAAGACGCTCCATCGCAATTTCCGTTGCCTTCTCTATAGCCTCTGCTATATATTTTGCTAACGATGCATCCGTAGCAGTGGTATTTCGTGCTGTTACGCTTGCGTAACCTTTAGAGCGTTCTTGTAATTCAGTCACAGCTTCCCTCCGGGAGCAACGCCTGCGTTCCACAATTTCCAGCAGCTTAACTTCTCATTCTTTCGCCTCACAATCTAAAGAGTCTGCAGGATGTGCTTCATGACATAAACAGCACTTCTCTTCCGTCGAGTTGCACTTACGGCTGTCGAGATTTTCTCCGCATAGTCGACATCTGGCAGTTGATCTGCACCCTTTCACGCTGTGGCCATATCTCCAACAATTCAAGCACTGTAGTGGCTTAGGGGATAGAGGCTCTACCTTATAGATAAGAGGCCAAGCTTTAATTTCAGATGGTCTTATCGTTCCCGCAAAAGTTACTATCACCGATTCGGTAGGAGGTTTTTTTATTGTCAACCAGACGCGTGCACCTGTATACTGACACTGCCCCTGCTACCGAAAATAACTCAAGAATTTGTGCAGGGGTCAGGCTCGTATCTACACCGCGGACTATGCCTTTCGAACATGCAAGATGCACTGGAGTAAACGGGCTCACCGGCTGCGTTGCAAATTCGGAACAATTGAGAAGCTCTCGGACGCACTCCTGATCGGCAGAGCAGCACAAAATACCACCACGACCGAAATGCCGGACCTCAGTGATCTTTTGAAAGTGTGTTGTGGCTTTCCAAAGCTCCATTTGAATCATCTTCGGGCTCTTCATAGGTATCGTACCTCTATTGGTCGGTACCAGAGCCACGGGGACGTTGATAACCCCACAGCAAAGAAAAGAATCAATCGGCCAATCCTTGGCCAGTATAGATTCTAGCCAAGGAAAAGGCCCTTGGCCAGGCGAAGAAACCGACATCTAAATAGCCTGAGTCGCTTGAACTCAGAAAATCACATGGCACAAACCACAAAAAACTGCCAAAAAGCACTAAAACCACAAAGAAGCAAACGTTAAACTCAAGTGCAATCCCGCCACCCGTCGTTCAAGCCGTTCCAACCCGTGAGCAGCAACGCAGAACAGGATCAGCAGCGGAGAACAGGAAACGAGTGACGCGACACGACGAGACGCGTGAAGGAGAGTCTCTTTCTTTCTGTCTCTATTGTATTAATGTATCTCCGCCATTGTTCAAACTCCTTCTTCTTTTTCTCTCAGCAGACTACCTACTACTAGCTTATGTCTCAAGTGTGTCGTGCCAGAAGAAGAAGAAAAGTATGCCACATGACCATCGACAGGTTTTTGCCTTGGGGGGATGCAAACCCTTCTTTCAACTTGCATCACGTCTGAGGGAGGGGGTCGTGTTGGTGTCGCTAGAGTGGGTAGCAAGTGCTGGTGTGGTTAGAAGGGGTCAAGTGCCCTTTTTGCACCACCCGCCTTGCCCACGCCCATGTCTACACTTCATTCATTGAACACTGCGGTGAGGACTAGTTGACTAAATGCGCAGATTTGTTTTCTTCCGCATCTTATACCGCTACATAAAACATTCTCACATTGTGAAAAGTAGGTATTTTGATTCGTTTGAAGGAAAGTAACATTCAAGGAATGACAGATACTCAAAAGAGCAGTTTCCTGCAATCGCGATAAGAAAACTCGTAACAGAGGTGCTTCTTTTTTTTTTTGCCGCGCACAATGTAAAAGTGAGATCCAATTCGGAAAAAGCGAACTGAGTGACGTACGTCGGCGCTTGCTCAATGTTCAATGAAAGAAGGTTTCATGAAGTTACGTAGCCAACAACAGAAACAAACTGCTGCATCTCAAATAAAAAAAAACAAGCAAAGTGCTGCACATTATTGGTAGAACATGGACATAGATCGAAATACGCGTATATTGTTATGAAAGCGAAATAAAAACTATTTTACAAAACGATTTGCATTCATTAGGATGTCAACACATCTGTGTAGTGTCATTTATGCTATTTGAATGGAAATCCCTGAATTTCAACTAATTCAGTAACCTGTGGCAGAAGAGCCTTTTAAATTTTTAGTTTCGGTTCGCGCCACCGGCGCAGCCGCCGCCGACGAAAATTGGCCACGCGCCGCCGCTGATGAAATAACCGGCGTGCGCCGACAACGCCGCCCCCGCCGACTCTGAACGACCTCCACGCCGCCACCGGTCGAAATCGCCTCGGCGCACACCTCTAGATGGGACCGTGGGACGCAGGCGGCCATTTTGACCCCCCTCCCTGCTTCTCCCTCCTGTTACGCTTCATTTTACGCGAACCCCTTTGGGCCCAAATGCAAGACCACGGACAGCGTGCGAACGCTCCCGGGCCTGTAAACGTATCGGGGGTAGAGGCGCAGAAGTGTATGCCCAGACGCCGAGGAACCTGAGACGCTGCTGCCGCGAAGGTCGTCATGTGCTGTGCGCGAGAACGCGGTGAGCTCGTGGCTCATTCGCACCTGGCTCTTGAGTGTGGGAACGCCGGTGGTGTGATCCGTGGCGCGATCAGTCGCGTGATCGGTGGCGTGACCAGTGGCGTGGTAGGTGGTGCGAACACAAGGTGTTCCATATTTGGTCATGTCTGGAGGCGCCTGACGTCACACAAGCGTCTGGAACCCTTTAAAAACGCGCAGGGAGAGACTGGGTGAAGCAGTCTGGATTGAGACTCTGCCGGAACTCTGCTCCTCGGCTTCTTACCTTTGTTTGTAAACTTGAATGTCCACTTTGGTCTAACTATGTAGTATTAAACTCTTTTGATTTGCTGTTCTGCGCCATCTCGCCGGTACTTCCCTTCTCGTCGGTCCTGATGCAAGTTACGAGCACAACCTGCTGACGGCGGCGGTCAAGAGACACCCTTAACAACTGGTTGGCAGCGGTGGGATGCTGCAGTCATTTCGACGACTCGAGGGCTGAGCTGCGACACGGATCCACGAGCCGCCTCGTCTGCCAGGCCGCAACTAGATGCAGTGTTTGCGAGGGTCTACGCGGAATTCTTGGCTGTTGAGTGGTGAGTGCGGGGCTTTGTCTGCTGAGTTTTGCCAGGCTTTTTCAGTGGGGAAGCGTAACTGGTAATTCGAACTAATGTTGTCGCCAAAGTGGGCTGCGGCAAGATAGTTGTGTACAGTAGGAAAGGTCGCACTGAACACAGCCATGAATTTGAAGTTGCTGCGTAAAGCGGAGTTATTACAGCTTGCAAAGGAGTTGCGTTTGGATGTTTCTGACGCACTCCGGAAACCAGAATTGATCGAGGCTATTAGTGCTCTGGAGGCTGAGGAAGATGAGCTGACGGAATGCCTTGAGATAATTCGAGAAAGGGAAGCCGCAAAAAGACAGGCAGAGGAGCGTAGAGAACAGCAAGAGAAAGAGCGTGAGAAAAGGGAGCTCGAATTAAAACGACTCGAGTTTCAACGTTCGAGAGAGCGCGAGGAACGCGATCACGCGCTCGAGTTAAAGCGACTCGAGGTTGAAATAGAGCGCGTGCGAACGGCAGGGCTGAGAAGCGAGGCAAACAGTGCAGGGGTGCGCATATCGCTCAAAATGACAGAACTAATTCGCCCTTATAAACTCGGAGAGGACATTGGGTTGTTCTTGGTGAACTTTGAGCGGACGTGTGAGAAGCAGGGGTTCTCCCGTGAGTCGTGGCCACAGCGCTTGCTCACACTCTTACCTGGCGAGGCCGCAGAAGTAATCGCTCGTTTATCCACTGAGGAGGTCGACGATTACGATAAAGTAAAATCCAGTTTGCTTAGGAAGTACAGGCTGTCCGCGGAGGCATTCCGGCGGAAATTCCGTGAATTGGAGAAAGGAAGGAGTGAGTCATACACTGAATTTGCCTATAAACTGAAGTCAAACATGGTGGAATGGCTAAAGGAGGAGAAGGCCTTCGGTGACCACGCAAAGGTTATTGAGTGTTTTTTACTAGAGCAATTCTACAACCGGTTACCAGAGAACATTAGGCATTGGGTGCAAGACAGGCCAGATGTTAGCTCTGTAGCCAGAGCCGCAGAGCTAGCAGAGGAATTCGTCACACGTCGGGCTCGCGAAGGCAGTGACAGTGGTTGAAAAAGGGGTCCCGATTTTGGGTTCAAGCCAAAGAGAGGGCCTGTGAAAACAAAGGAAGAGCCTGAAATTGGGAATGCCCGAACCGTAAATACGTCGGAGTCGGAACGGAACACCGAACCTGCGTTAGAACAGCAAAGGAAGCTAGAAGCGAGGAAACCGTTCCTTTGCAATAACTGCCATAAACCCGGTCACATTGCGGCGCACTGTAAGAAACCAAAAGTTGTGTTTCTATCCATCAGTGGTAGGGACGAGAATATCGAGCTTCTCGAACCTTACATGCGCGACCTTGAAGTGAACGGGAAGCCCTGCCGCGTACTGCGCGATTCTGCGGCTACGATGGACGTAGTTCACAGCTCGTACGTTGAACCGCAAATGTTCACGGGTGAGTGTGCTTGGATCAAGCAGGCTGTAGAGTCGTGTAGTGCATGCCTTCCCGTCGCAAAGGTAACTATCAAAGGCCCTTTCGGCACGCTCGAGACGGAAGCTGCCGTGTCGCCGGCACTCCCTCCGCAATACCCTTACCTGTTTTCGAATAGATCTGACAAGATGCTGCGCGAGAGAGGGCAGCTGTTTGGGGAGGCAAATGTGATGGCGCTAACGCGTTCGAAAGCACGGGAACTCGCTGCGAAGGCAGTTGCCGAGTCCCCTTTAGCTGAAATCGGCCTGACGCAGGACTCCCCAGCAGAGGTCGAACTTACGCCAGCGTTACAACAGCAGGGGGTCCCATCCGTGGAGGATGAAGCTACGGCACGGGCACCATCAGAAATATTGGAAGAGCATTCCAGAGATTTACTTGTAGCGCCTACGTCGGAAAGCTTACAGCGACTGTTAATGGTAGACAGCATGGCCTTGAGGAATCAACAAGATAAAGACCCGAGCTTGCGAAACATCCAGAGCAGGGTACATGAAAAGATAGCCCCGAAAAACATAAGTTATTATGAGAAGGATGGCATACTGTACAGGAAGTATGTTGACAAAAGGGGTGTAATGTTTGATCAGCTGGTCGTGCCTCAAGCTTATCGAGAGGATTTACTGCGCTTGTCGCATGGAAGTTCTTGGGCAGGTCATTTAAGCGTCAAGAAAACGAAGGGACGGTTGTTGCAGGAGTATTATTGGCCAGGCTGTTTCCGCGACGCAGAGCGATTTGTAAGGACATGCGACACGTGTCAGCGTGTAGGTAAGCCGGGTGACAAGTCGAGGGCGCCGATGAAGCTGGTGCCTATCATCACAGAGCCGTTTCGGCGGCTCGTAGTGGACACTGTAGGCCCACTGCCGGCGACATCGTCGGGGTACCGCCACGTGCTGACCGCGATATGCCCAGCGACTAAGTTCCCCGAAGCGGTTCCACTTAAAGAACTTAGCTCTGTGGAAATAGTTAACGCGCTCCTTTCCATATTCGCACGAGTTGGCTTTCCCGCCGAAATACAGTTAGATCAAGGCTCTGTGTTTACTAGTGCTCTTACCACTACGTTTTTGGAAAGGTGCGGAGTAAAACTAATTCATAGTTCAGTCTACCACCCTCAGTCTAACTCCGTGGAGAAGCTCCACTCCGTTCTGAAGCGAGTGTTGAGGGCGTTATGCTACGAAAGGAAGACGGACTGGGAGCTATGTTTGCCGGCTACCATGTTCGCGTTAAGGACTGCCCCGCATGAAGCAACGGGGTTTTCACCAGCCGAGCTCGTGTACGGCCGCTCGTTGCGATCTCCTCTTCGCTTGCTTCGAGAATCGTGGGAAGGCCGAGCCGAAGACCCAGTAGTGGTCGAGTACGTTTTGAAGCTACTGGAGCGTTTAAGAAGCGCTCAACGGCTATCAGAGCAAGCCATGGCTAAAGCGCAACATAGGTCAAAGGTGTACTATGACCGCACAGCCAGAACCCGTCGATTCGATGTCGGGGACAAAGTAATGATACTGCGACCGTCGCAGAAAAACAAGTTAGAAGTGCAGTGGGAAGGTCCCGCCAACGTAGTTGAAAAGCTTTCTGACACAAACTACGTGATACGCCTGCCCGGAAAGCGAAAGATACAGCAAGTGTATCATTGCAATCTGCTCAAGCCATACCGAGAACGGGAGGCAGTGGTATGCATGATGGTGAACATCCCCGAGGAGATTCCAGTTGAACTTCCAGGGCTTGCATCAGTCATAAACGGTGAGGATGGTGAACCACTAATCAAAGAATTAATATCGAAAGCGCAGTTAGAGCCGGAGCAAAAGATCGAGCTCCAGGATCTTCTGACAGAATTTCAGGACTTATTTGTAGATAGGCCTGGAAGAACCTCGGTTGTTACTCATGACATCGAGCTGACATCCTCAGAACCCGTGCGTAGCAAAGCTTACCGAGTGTCACCGCGCCAACGAGAGATTATGGATTCCGAGGTGAAGAAGATGTTGGAATTAGGCGTGATCGAGCCTTGTGAGAGCGATTACACTTCGCCCTTAATCTTAGTTGAGGTGCCGGGAAAAGATCCACGCCCTTGCGTGGATTATCGCAAGCTAAACTCGATCACCAAAGATCAGATTTACCCGATACCAAACATTGAAGAGCGCATTGAGAGGGTTAGTGGAGCTCGATATATTTCCACGCTGGATCTCGTTCGAGGCTACTGGCAGGTTCCTCTCACCGAAAGGGCTAGCAGATATGCAGCGTTCATATCGCCGTTGGGAACGTTCCGCCCTAAGGTATTAAGCTTCGGTTTGAAAAATGCGCCATACTGTTTTTCAAGCCTTATGGACAAGGTGTTACGAGGACTAGGGGAATTCGCTTTACCCTACTTAGACGATGTGGCGATATATTCGTCCTCTTGGTCGGAACACATGCAACATCTGCGAGTGGTTCTAACGCGTTTGCGTGAAGCGGGACTAACTGTGAAGGCACCTAAATGCCAACTCGCTCAAGCTGAGGTGATCTACCTAGGTCACATAATCGGACAAGGACGCCTCCGACCTTCTGAGCTCAAGGTGGCTGCCATACGCGATTTCCCGCAACCACGCTCAAAGACAGATATCCGCCCATTTCTGGGGGTTGCAGGTTACTATCAACGTTACATCCCGAGATATTCGGAATTAGCTAGCGCTTTAACTGACGCGCTCCGGAAAACTGAGCCACAAACTGTCATCTGGCATGACCGTAAAGAGGAGGCTTTCAAAGCATTAAAAGCCGCCTTAACAGGTCAACCTGTGCTGAAATCACCTGATTATTCGAAAGAGTTCATAGTTCAGTGTGATGCTAGTGAGCGAGGCATGGGAGTAGTGTTGTGCCAACGAGGAGAGGACGGTGAACACCCAGTTCTTTATGCCAGTCGTAAGCTGACTGTGCGAGAACAAGCATATAGCGCAACCGAGAAAGAATGTGCGTGTCTCGTATGGGCAGTGCAAAAGTTGTCGTGCTACCTTGCAGGCTCGAGGTTCATAATAGAGACAGACCACTGTCCTCTCAGATGGCTGCAATCCACTTCTTCCAAAAATGGTCGCCTCCTGCGCTGGAGCCTCGTTTTACAGCAGTATTCATACGAAATACGGTACAAAAAGGGGAGTCTCAATGGCAATGCCGATGGCTTAAGCCGAAGCCCCTAGGTCATGAATTGGCCTCGATTGTTTTTCTTCCTGACATAGGTTTTTGTGTTATTATTTCTTCCGTAGTTTTGGAAGACCTGTGCGTCATTAGGTGGGCAACGAAATTAGGGGTGTGTTTAGTACTTTGTACGAGTAATAAGATTGAGACTTTTGTGTTTAAGGTAAGCCTGGCGGGGCTCAGTGGATACGTGTCTCGCGCTTGCTTCTTCAGTGGCTTTGTTATCCTGTGTTTTCCCGTGGATTGTTTGTTCAGTCGACCGGCTCTACCATGGCGAGGATCTTGCTCTCCCAGAGAGAGGACTTCGTTGTCATCTGGCATCTCTTCGGACACCACGTCGGTTCCAAACTCTTGGCAGGAACGCCGGAAGAACCTGTGGTTTCCCTTCTTGCTGATGAAAGACCTGAAGCGGTGGGGTGTGATGATCTCACCACCCGGAGCTGCCTGGAGACCAGCCCCACCGACGAGCCCCTGCGGGGTCGCCCCGGAAAGGAGCTCATACCATTGTCTTTGGCCACTTTTGACTGTCGCCATTTGCTGGATTCCATTGTATGGTTCGCCTCCAGCCTCCGGCGAACCTCGACAACATCAGGGAAATCTGGCGGAACTACCTTACGAGACGGAACAGGGCCTGGAGCCAGGTATCACGTACCGTGCTCCAGGTTAAGAAGGCTACGAGCTTCGACGACTGATCCCTGTTGACAGTGGATGCTGTCCCCTGCCATTCGGGATCTCCATCCGCGAGGGGGCAGTCTGTTACGCTTCATTTTACGCGAACCCCTTTGGGCCCAAATGCAAGACCACGGACAGCGTGCGAACGCTCCCGGGCCTGTAAACGTATCGGGGGTAGAGGCGCAGAAGTGTATGCCCAGACGCCGAGGAACCTGAGACGTTGCTGCCGCGAAGGTCGTCATGTGCTGTGCGCGAGAACGCGGTGAGCTCGTGGCTCATTCGCACCTGGCTCTTGAGTGTAGGAACGCCGGTGGTGTGATCCGTGGCGCGATCAGTCGCGTGATCGGTGGCGTGACCAGTGGCGTGGTAGGTGGTGCGAACACAAGGTGTTCCATATTTGGTCATGTCTGGAGGCGCCTGACGTCACACAAGCGTCTGGAACCCTTTAAAAACGCGCAGGGAGAGACTGGGTGAAGCAGTCTGGATTGAGACTCTGCCGGAACTCTGCTCCTCGGCTTCTTACCTTTGTTTGTAAACTTGAATGTCCACTTTGGTCTAACTATGTAGTATTAAACTCTTTTGATTTGCTGTTCTGCGCCGTCTCGCCGGTACTTCCCTTCTCGTCGGTCCTGATGCAAGTTACGAGCACAACCTGCTGACGGCGGCGGTCAAGAGACACCCTTAACACTCCTCGGTCTCCGCGAGTATAGAGCTTCCCCAAATTAAAAAACTATATGGGATCAGCCTCAAATCATCATCATGATCATAGGCGGCGGCGGCGCAGCGAAAATTGTTGGCGGCGGCGCCCTGACGTCTCGGCGCACACCTTTTTTCACAAACCTTTCTAGCCAAAAATCCGGCGTGTGCGCAACAGCGTCATTGTCTCAGCAATTATACTCTATACATTTACTTTAGCAGCAGATTTGAATGTGGTATCTCTGAGACCGATCAATGAGGGAGACAGTAGATGAATGAATGAATAACTTGGTTATGAATCATTCTATTTTTGCAGACCATAGGAAAAGTCTTCTACAGATCCGCATTTGCAAGGCCCTAGTCGACTGACGTATTTTTTGCTGTACACGTAATTTTAGTTTACTTGACATGGAAGTTTCCTCACAATGCAGTTTTGAATGAGCAGCACTTTATTGAATCTTTCAAATTGCGAATAAATGCGCTTTAAGTGTTTCTATCTATAATTTATTCGCATACGTACGTCCGAATGCTCTATAGTTGTGTTGTCTTTAATTTAGTATAAATGAAAATTATTAAACGAGCATGTGAGTGTGTGACAAACTCGAATGGCAGGTCACGACGTTCTTGTCACATGCGCCGTGAAATTCTTTCATAGCTCAGTCACGTATGTGGCGTTCTGAACGCGCTAACCTGCCCGCATAGTCCCCATACCCTTTTTTTTTTCTCGTGTATAATTTATCGGCGCCATGTGTGACAAACACTCACAGCGCGCCAGCGAGTGGCTGCGCCCTCTAGAGACTGTATTCAGCTGTATCAAAAACTTTCAGTCTCGCCGCCCATTCACGACACTAAGATTTGAGCCACATTTAGCCTCAAGAGCGCCATGTTGTTTGAGCCGTGTTTGTGTGTGGTGCATTCTGTGGAATTTCAGGTGTAAAAGATCGCGAATACGATTGTTTTGCCCTTTGCTACCGTGGTGTAACCTGCCCCTTTCGCCCGTTTAGCAGTCAGCGAGGTGAAAAATTACGGGCCCTTTAGAATTCGAAGCAGCGCATCCACAAACCGTGAGCATGCCGCCGCGGAAAAATATAGCGCGCCGAGGTAGTAAGTCGGTGACTCAGGGCAGATGTGCGGGTAAGCCGGCCTCATGCAGCACGGCACAGCAGCTGGAAAGCAGCAAGCTGGCAGCTGCTATCGTGGTTGTCGAAAAGCTGTCGGATGCCGTGGTCGGCCAGAAGGCGGACGCCGCCGCCATAGAAGCCAGCGAGGCTAAAAAGAGGAAGCTCTCGGACGGGGCCTCGACGGCTGCAGCCGAGGAGCCCGAGCCGACCGAAGTGGGAGACGGGGCCCCCTCCGAAGAAGAAGAAGAAGATGACGGCGCGTGCGAAGCTCTGTTTCTCGACGTCGAAGACGACGAAGGAGGCTCGCCGGCGCCCAGCGAGGAGCAGAGGGCGGAAGACGACAACCGCGACAGCGCTGCCGACGAAGAGGACTCCATGCCTGCCGAGACCGACAAAGACGCCGAGGGGAACGTGGACGGCGCCGCGGAGGAAGTTGGCGACGAGGCCACTCCGGAGGACGACGGAGAGTGTGCCGATGAAGGCGCAGATAACGTGAACGGCGAGGAGTACACAGAGGTGGACGAAGAGATAGTCGAGGAAGAGGCCGAAGAGTCCCAGGACGGCGAAGGAGCCGAAGAGTCTCAGCATTGCGAAGAGGAGGTCGGGGAGCACGACGGTGAAGTGGTCGAGGAGTCGCAGGATCCGCAAGAGGCCGTGGAGTCTCGGGACGGCGAAGAGGAGCTTGTCGAGGAGGACGGGGAAGGCGAAGAAGGAGCGGAGGGAGAGGCTGCGGAAAACTGGGAAGCAGCCGCCGACGGTGAAGTGGAGTATTACGAGGAGGGCGACGGCACGCAAGACGCAGAGTGGGACGAAGAGATGGAATGCGTAGACGCCGATGATGCACAGGTCGTTGACGACGTGGACGATGCCGATGGCGTGGGCCAGGAGTGTGCTGATGGAGCGGAGGATCTTGTCATGGACGACCCCGCAGTGCACGACGAGACGGCACGTGACACGCACAACTACAGCGCTGAAGAGGCCGCACTACAGGCTGATGGCACCGATGATAACGAAGGCAACGAGGCGACCACTGAAAAAGGTGCCGCGGCAAATGAGGCGATCCCATCTGACGACGGGGCGGCTGCAGAGCGAACTGTGGAGATAACGCAGCTGTCTGAGCTCTGCCCATCCGTGTTGTTCGAGGAGCCCCGGACCATTGCCGAGTCGCTTCGTGACAGCATCCAGAGGTCCGTGCAGCTGCTCATCGAGCAGATGCTGGATGCCAAAGAACGTGCAAGTGGCCAGGTCAGTGTTGGAATTATTTTCATGTGTGACACTAAAGACCACTTTGTAACTTCTGCGGCATCATCGAGCGAAGCAGAGCTGTAGTTAATGGCCGTTTTGTGGTGGGAGTGCTCAACAACCAGCGCATGAGTAAGCAACTGCACTGGGTTGAAATCATTCCTGTATATTGCAGTATAGTTTCCTCGCTGCAATGAAAGGCTCAAGTAAAGTAAATGGAAAGGCCACAGTGCAGAAATGTTGTGTTCTAACGCTCGCACTCTGCACACAGCCAGCATTCATTAGTCTTCATTGGTCCAGGGCACTATTAAACCAAGTGTATACCTACATATGTCACAAATACAATACCATATTTAAGTTCAGTTTTAAGCATGTCGGAAATGTGACGATACATCAAATGTTTCCCTGTAAACTGGTTAGCACAATCTTGGCTTTATTTGCTGGGAAGAAGTCAGTCTATGAACTCAATCCCAAAGCCACAAGTTTGAAAGAAGCTTGGGCAGTTGATCTTGTAACTCTTGCCTCTGCATTTTGGGTAGTCAAGCTAGTCGCAGCTTCTCCCTGTTAGGTCAAACGAGGAATGCAATTGCAGCACACCTGTCTAACTTCACATTATAAACACAGCTGTCATGTCAAGCAAGTTTGTTCATCCACAGGGCCGTCTAGCGGAGAGCATGTGAAATGGGCCAGAGAGCTCCATGCCATAGTCTCCCACACCTGATAGAGTGCTGTGTTTCTCCATAAAGAAATGTTGCATACGTTCTAGAGAAAGGCAAACAGGTTTGCTTTTATGTGTTATAAAAAAGAATTTGTTTTAATGTGATGCCAAATCTCTAACACAATTAAATAGCAATGCATAACCCTGGTGGTTGAATTTGTCCAGGTTTTACTTATATGTCATGATCATGCCGACTTATTGCTATAACTATACATACGAGATCAAGCAAGTTTTATAAGAAAATCACTTCACATTGCTTTGTTTTACACAGTGATGTAACTAGATAGGATGGCGCTTATAGCAAATATATTTCTGCATGCCTCATGATGATAATCAAATTAATTAATATCATTAATCAAATTATTATTTATGTACAAAAAAAATTACACTATCTCCCGCTAAAGGGAACCACGTGTGGATGCAAAGCAGTGGGAGTGTGGACGTATCGGGAAGGAGGGAGCGACAATACCTCCTGCCTGCTTCGCATTTAAAAAACCATCTGACTGTTCTGGGAAAGTGAATGAGCGACCTCTTGATTGATTGTCCACTACAGTGCACTAAAGTCGCCTTGCAGGTCGATGCATCGCACGACCCTAGAGAAGCCTACAAAGTGAGAAAAAAAAATGTGAAGGAAGAAATGGACCTTGCCGGTTACTTGTCTTATTTTCACAAAATTTCCGAAGTTAGTAAATTGCATGCAACCGCACAAAAAAGAAATTTCCTACCAAAAGTACTGTTCCAAATTATTTATTGTGCTCGTCAAATCTGTGCACTATGTCTACTTTTTTTTGTCAGTGCTAATTATGCATTAAAATTTTTTTCCAGCAAACCCTGTTGTCGCAAAATTAGTGCACACACCAGTGCAAATATTTATCGTGAACAATTGTGAAAAAATAGTTCCTATATATTTTGCATACATGGTGCATGCGCATTACGAAAAGAGCTGTCACTCTCAGGCATTTTCGCCATCTGTTGCACTCTGGACCTTGGGTCTTGAACATGAAACCCACGGAACTCTCGCCAGTGAACCCCGGCCTGCACGTGACCGTCTTCATCGCACTTTCCTTTTTTTTGATAAGTGTAGTCATGAGCTACACTTTCATAACTTGTCTGGAGCATGAGCATAGTTATAGCGCGAGAACAAAACGACTACACAAAGACAAGAAGGACACGAGTGCTCGTGTCCTTGTCTCTGTGTCGTCGTTTTGTTCTCGCGCTATAACGATCGTCGTGCCATAACAACTAGCCCAAGCTGCCACACATCGTCTAGATCATTCTTTTTTACTTGAGGGAACCCCTGCAGTCAACATGTATTGATGTATAATTCTGAAACAAAATTCTATATTTCGAATTGTCCAGATTGTAGTCTTTTGGGAGGTAGGTTTGTGCTGTTGCAATCCCGGTGCCCAAGCACCTTCGAAAATAACTCGATGTATGAGATAAGGAAAAATATATTAAATTACATTGTTAAACATTTAAATGTTTTAGCCTTTTTGTGTGCGTGTGATTTGTGTCTTATTCGGAGTCTATACCAAGCAGATATGACGCTTATACTGTCTCATGTAGCCACCATAACCCATTCACATGAGACACCAAATGCAATATCGTGAACTCTGTATATTAGCACAAAATGAAGTGTCACTTTAGCTTACTGCCTCATCGGAGCCGACAGTGAGGTCGATGTTTGTATTTGGATTTCTCCTCGTGGTAGTGGGTGAGTGTGAAGTGGATCTTTCTTGGTGTAACTCTCCCGCTTGGGCGTCCGATAAGTACATTCATTTAGGGACCTTAAAGGTATGCTAACAAAAAATATGAGGTTGAGGTGGAACGAGCAGGGGCATTGAAGAAGGCATCTAGTTTTGATCGGGTGTGAAAAGATAAGTTGTGAGCGGAGATAAAGCAAATATTTCTTACTCAATTTCTTTTGCCCCTGACTCAGTGCTGAAGGAATGTCATCATGAATCACATGGCTCTCAGCCAATTAAAAAGTGCCAACGCACGTCATTGCACATGCAATCGGCTGCTACTTGGCCGCGGTGGAGGGATGCCACGTCTTTGATGATTGCCGCGATGAATGTGGTTACAGGCTTTGAACCTTTCAGGGAAGATCTCAACATGGAAGCAAGATTGCATTTCAGTCAGTCTGCAAGGATCCCCCATGCTCTGGCAATGACAGCAGCTTTCTGCGAACGAAGCCTGGCTTCAACTGACCGAAAGCAAAGCGTCGTTTTCGTTGACAGCATGCGAGGCATCCCATTGCCGAATACTGTTCATGTATGAGCATGTTCAGTTTTTCCGTTTTTACTGGGGGTTTTTTTTTGTTTGGGAGAGCTCGAGCAGAGGCGCCATGTCGTGAAGGGAATGGCGGCAGAGCAGTGACAGCAGAGCCATGCAAAGCCATGCAAAGCAACTCAATCTGCCCCTGGAATGCGGCATGCGTCCGAAGAGCAGGTGGGAGGGTACGAATGAGAAAAAAATGTATTACGAGATCGAAACCATTGAAGCCCCATAGTTTTTTTGCAAGACAGCGGCAGAACATTGGTGAAATCCGTCGCAGGATCACAGCGAGACTCGCTAGTTTAAACGAGGTTGACATCACTGAAGTCAGACTACACCTTGATGCTGTTATTGCCCACATCGGTAGAAGCAAAAAAATCAAAACAAAATGAATGATTTCGATATCTACATAAATAGCTCTAGGTAAATCTCTGCTGAACTGCGTTTGTGATCATTGCGACAAACGAGGAGCGTTAGGATTATCGCCGTCAAATGAAACACTTAGCAAGCATTAACAACTGTCCATAGTGTGCCTGGACCACTCATCACAGCGGACCTGTGCAGTTCTACCAAATAGAACGGATGCGCACATATCAGTGATATATACTGCCACGTACGTCCCGCCTTGTGTCGGTGTTGTGTGAACGGCCGTGCCGTAATGAGGTGATAGCGGAGCGAATAGACACGCTATTGCTTACGCAAGGTGTTTCAATAGCGAGAGGCATTCTGGCACTAATTGATGGGCGGGCAGAAGTCCTCATCACCAACTTCAGCAACGAGCGTCGTCACATCCAGAAGGGCACCGCGATTGCCTACTACGACGACGTGGACCAAGCCAGAGATTGCTTCGCTTTGCAACAGGATGAGGCAACCATCCCAGCCTCGACACCTTTGTCTGTCAACATTTGCTCAACCCTGCCAGCCTCGGAAAAACAGCGCCTACTAGAGCTGACACACCAGTTCAAAAATTGTTTTTCGTGCACGTCGAAAGTCAAGCAAACACCACTGACCCGGCACCGAATCATCATTGAAGAAAATACGAGACCGATCCGTCAAAACCCATACCGTGTGGCTCCGAAAGAACGTGAGGAGATCCAAAAGCAAGTTCAGAAGATGCTCCAAGATGACGTAATACAGCCTTCCAAGAGTCCCTGGGCATCCCCCGTGGTATTGGTTAAAAAGAAAGACGGCAGCCTGCGTTTCTGTAAAGATTACCGCAAGTTAAACCAAGTAACGAAGAAAGACGTCTACCCACTGCCACGTATAGATGACTCTCTTGATCGGCTGCGGCATGAACGCTATTTCTCATCGATGGACCTGCGAAGTGGCTATTGGCAAATAGAGGTCGACGAGAGAGACCGTGAGAAAACTGCTTTCGTGACGCCCGACGGTCTTTATGAATTTAAAGTGCTTCCATTCGGGTTATGCTCAGCGCCAGCCACTTTTCAGTGTTTAAAGGACACTTTGCTATCCGGACTTAAGTGGCAGACATGCTTGGTTTATCTAGACGACGTTGTCGTCTTCTCTGCTACATTCGAGGAACACCTAAGTCGATTATTCGCAGTTCTACAAGCTATACGTTCGGCTGGCCTGACTTTAAAGCCAGAGAAGTGCCATTTCGGTTTCAACGAACTTTGCTTCTTAGGCCACGTGGTCAGCCACGAAGGTGTTCGACCTGACCCGGGCAAAATCGACGCTGTCGCAAAGTTTCCCGCACCGCATGACAAAAGAGCAGTGAGACGCTTCTTAGGCCTCTGCGCTTATTACCGACGATTCATCGCCAACTTTTCGTCTATTGCGGCGCCTCTGACGCGGCTCACACGAGAGGATGTCCCCTTTCTTTGGAGTGAAAAGGAACAAACAGCGTTCAACGAATTACGCCAACGCCTCCAAACACCTCCGGTTCTGGCGCACTTTGACCAGGAAACTTCACACCGACGCAAGCAATGTAGGCCTGGGCGCCGTACTGATACAATGGCAAGATAACTGCGAGAAAGTGATAGCCTAT